GCTAAACCTAACCCTAAACCTAAACTTAACGCTAAACCTAACCCTAAAACCCCTAAACCTAATCCTAACCCTTACCTTAATTGAAGTTGGCTTTCTGCCGCGCCGCCGTTTTAAAGCGCCCTTCTGTTGCCGCGGCGGTGATAATGCGCGGTGATGACGTCGCGGCTTTAGCGCCGCGATTTTATCACCGCGATTTTGACGAGTGCTGTTTTGTCGTGCCATGCTTGACCAGAACATTGTAGCTAGGAACATTAGCCTGTGGACAGCTGAGGGATGGAGCATGATCTCACAATGTCAACATTACGAGTAATTTTCAAATTTCTGTTCTATTTTTTTTCTTTAAAAATATTTGATTTTAAAACTTAGTGGTTGTGTGTGTTTTTTTCTAGGAATCTGTTAACAGTGTGAAGGCTCGGCTTGGCAAAAGCATTCAGATTCAAAACCTGCTCAAAGCATTTGAAGCTCGTGATAGAAATATACAAGAAAGCAATTATGACAGGGTAAACTTCTGGTCCATAGTTAACATGGCAGTAATGATTATAGTGTCAGCTGTTCAGGTGTACTTGTTGAAGAGTCTTTTTGAAGATAAAAGGAAAACTAGAACTTAACACAAGGGAGTTTCATTTAAAGCAATAAATAAGGGAATTTGCAATACATTTAAGAAAAAAAAGAGATGGCTATTACTTCTCAGCTGTTTGGAATGGATAATAACCTTCACATAGGAATTTTTTTAAAAATTACGAACAGAGTGGCTTTTCTCTAACGGTGCATAATTTGTCTCTGACACCATTTGTCTTGCACAGAATCCTGGAGCAATGCCAGATTTTTAACATTTGTAATTATGTCTACTTTTTGCCTAACTTTTTTTAAAAAAGTAAATGATTTGTTTCATAACCTTATAAAGATATGTTTTCAGTATTTTAATGACCAGTCGAGTAGAAATGCTGAAAATAAGTCTGCTATTAGATAGCTTGTTAAAATAAAGCTTCTTGTCATTTGTACTAAGACATTTTCAAAATGAATGAATATTTGAAAGGCACTTGTTCCAAACTCCAGCAGTTCACAGACATTAATATTCAATAGGTGGAATAAAATCAAGTCTATAAAGCAAAGTTGTATTGGTTCAGTAGTATCAGCTACTTTGGTCCAAATTTGGAAGTCAATATAGTGAATCACTTAGTAATAATTCAAAATGAAAACTATGTAAGATTATATAGTTTTCATTTTGAATTATTACTAAGATTGATTCACTAGAAGAAACTTTTTGTTCAAATGCCATACTCAATTATGTTTTGAAAACTAACGTTTCTTCTCAAAATTTTATGTAGAATTTTAACTTTGGAGACCCAATAAAGGAGAATATTTGTAATCGGGATTGAAATGAGGGGTCCTTGATGCTGAGTTTGGTTGTTTTCTTGCAGATGTTTCATTACCCAAATTGGGTAACATCAGTGCTAGTCATGGTTGTGATTACCCCTGATGTTACCTACTTTGGATAATAAAATGTTTGCAAAAAAACAATCAAGGCGAGAGAGACCATCAAGAATCTTCCCTCATAACTCTGGAGTGCCTGGACATAACAACCTATGTTAATATTCATAACATAATATTAATGTGCATTAGGACTACTAGCATCCTGGAAGATGCTGCTGATTTAAGAGTCACACTCAATAAAATTAACACAAGAGTTTACAGAAACATTTTTCATTCTGTCATGAAAGCCTGAAAAAAAAGTGTGTTGCTTTAAAGAACAGAATGGTATTGAGATGTGAAACACTAAAATCATTTTTGAGGTGTTCACAGGTTTAATATACATATTGGATATTCAGGATTCATTATTTAGTTTAATTGGTTGACTTCGGAAGTTTCTGTATGCAGATTTATCATTTTAACAAATTATAAATATGGCTATCTTTATCATTACAATGTTCTCATTTTATAATTATGTCAGACATTATGTACTACTCTTGAATTCTTTTGAGCATTGTTAATGACTTAAATTGTGGAAGACAGCTTTTCCATCAACTGGGGGAGGGATGATTTCGCGCACAACATATATCCCGTAGAGATGAAGCTTGCCCATTGCTTGCGTGGCCCCGTTCCTTATAGGCCACGGAGTGGTACCTGTCCACATCCCTGGGGTTAGGGCCACTTGCTGTAGATTATGGGTAAATGATTAACAAGTGTTCCGTTTTCATTTCTGGTACAAATTTGCTCCTGACGAATTGGGTATAGAATACTCCTGTTTTAGCATGAAATATAACAAAATGATTCACTGCCATTTTAATCAATTTTAAGACTCGAGTAGCAGAATGGAAATGGATTTGATTTCACGATTCTGTGTATATATGTTTATGTGTATATTTGTTGTACACATGCATACACATGCATGCAAGGGCAGACAAGAAGTAACATTGGATGATATGAAATGTTGCCTTTTAAAATAACTCTTCAGTTCAGCTGAATTGGTTTCCCTAAAGTTCTTTCCCACATTTGTTGTAGGCCAGAAGTGAGGTGTATTCTTTTAAAAACACATCGGAATGATTTTTAACTTTGTGAATTAAATTATACCATTGGGAAGAATAATTCTAAAAAAAAAGTATCTCAAAATCAAGTCAAAAGTGCAGGCAGTCCTCAACTTTTTTGAGGCCCAAATTTCTGTTGCTAGGCAAGACAGTTGAGTGAGTTTTGGCCCACTTTACAACCTTTGTTGCCGCAGTTGTAAAGTGTATCAGTGCAGTTAGTTAGGAAGTGTTAAATGAATCTGGCTTCCCCATTAAGAAGGTTGCAAAGGTGATCACGCAACCCTAGGTCACTGCAACTGTCATAAATGTGTCAGTTGCCAAGTGGCTGAATTTTGATCATGTGACTGGTCACAAGAAAACTAGTTGTAAGGCTTTTTTCCCCAACGCCATTGTAACTGAGCTGTCGCTAAACAAACTGTTGTAAGTCGAGCAATGCCTGTGTATTCTCACCAAATAATTTTGTGTATCATTATTCTGCCTAGTGCCAATTTGAAGACATATACTCCCTATCAGTAATCCTACCAATTTTGATACTTAAATTATTCTTTAACTTATGATGTATTGAGTAACAGGCCATGCAACTTTTGAAAAAATGGATAGAATTAAGTCTTCGATCTCACAGGATCAATATAACCCATAGATATTTGTTTAATGAATTATTCCATTAATATAACCAGTAAATTGAAACAGCTGAGGACTAAATCAGAGTTGAGAAACATTCTGGAATGCTATGATGTTGTCTCACAATTAAGTGGTTTTCTTCTATGTAAACAAAAGCATATCAGTTGATGAGAATTAGTACAACTATAATGAATGTTTCTATTATTTAATCTTCCATTCATACAATGGGTTTATCTATTAATTAGATTTTGGTGAGTATGAGCACCTTTACCCAAGTGTCTTGATGCTATAGCAAATTTCATGAAAACTTCATACTATCATCTACATCAGTGTTTCTCAACCTTGGCCACTTGAAGATGTCCGGACTTCAACTCCCAGGATTCCCCAGCCAGCGTTCGCTGGCTGGGGAATTCTGGGAGTTGAAGTCCGGATATCTTCAAGTGGCCAAGGTTGAGAAACACTGATCTAACATAATACTACTATCAGCAAATAAATGTAACAACTGATTATTTAAGGAACAAAATGCAAGCATTATATATACCTACCGGTATTAACATATATGCAAGTAAGGAAAGCTGAATTTTATTTCCATATTATTAATCTTGCAGTTAAACCAAACATGGTACTTCCAATGGTCTTGGAATTCAGAAAAAAATGGCTGTCTTAACTATAGCACTGGTAAAGGTATTATATAACATTTTGTACAAAACAAAAGCTGTGACTAGCTTTCTACCTCTATATTTAGCTACAACTTGCTATCTGTCCTTTGCAGCGTTAAGGTTGCAACAACCTTAAACCCCTAAACATTGCTTAACTGAGTTGTTTTGAAAAGTTTTATTTTGTCCTATGTTTTGTATGATACAATTTAACGGAGCTCAGGAATAAACATTCTGCAAACAAAATATAGATTTTTATCGAGGCGCAAAAGTGATTGTGGGAAAAACAATAAAGGAATATTAAATCAATTATGTATTTTATTTCTGTGATTTTTTTCCCATTTACGTCCTTAGGGGGCAGGTCCTTCTTCCCCAGGCAATGTATGAATGTTAGGAAAATAGACTTAAGATATCCCCTTGTAGCTTTTTCTCTCGTGTTTCTCCCACCTGTGCTGCTCTTTTGTTCTCTCTTACAAGAAGATAAGAATCTCTAACATTGAACTTAAGAGGAAAATATAAGGAAACATTCAGAGATGTTTGCACCTTGGGTGCAAATTTTTGCTATTAAAGTACAGCACCTTTTTAAAATATTCAAATATACAGTACTGTCATAGACCCCAAAAAAAACCCCAGTAAAATTTGCCCCTAGACACTCTTAATGCCTGACTGCTTATGCCCCATAAATACTCTACAGACTGTGTAACTGTAATTTCCAACAGGAATTTGCAAGTCATGGTTATGAAATACTGCACTTAACCATCACAATTAGAGCAATTGTCGTAAGGAAGGCATGGTCAATGGCGACTCAGTTTATGACCATGTGGCTTAGCAACAATTGCCAATCCTAATTGCGGTCAGTAAATGAGGACTACTTGTACTTAACCATAAGGTACCATTCTGGACACCAAAAAGTGGACCCAATGATCCTACCTAATTCAGGGGCTCATACAGGTATTTAGGATATCACTCTATTTGCGCTTTACATGCACTGTTACTTTATTAATAACAAGTCTTTATTTTAATATTATCTAACTACTGTTTTATTAATGTTTATTTTTCTCGATTGAAATTAATACATTTAACAAAATGGGCTCACTCTAATGTAAGTTAAACCTATTTAAATAACAAAACTGTCAGCCACTCAAGGTACCATATTTTTCGGAGTATAAGACGCACCAGAGTGCCTGGGGGCAAAAACAAGCAAAAAACAGCCCTTTTTTCACTCATTTTTGCCCTCCCCAGCTCCCAGGAGCACTCTGGAAGCCTCCTAAGGGCTATGCACGGCCATTTTTCAAAGGAGGCGGGGTTTCGGGAGGCCAAAAATGCTGTATTCAGTATATAAGACGCACCCAGGTTTTCACCCTCTTTTTTGAGGGGAAAAGGTGCGTCTTATACTCCGAAAAATATGGTATATCGGATGAGTGAATTCTATTTTATTGCATTCTTAAATTAGCATAATCTTGTAAATCTGGACATACATCTTTTCCTGTCTTCCTTTTCAGCCCACGTATCTGGGAACAGTCTCTTCTGAGCTTCTTGCCCTGCCCATATTACTGCTGCAGTCTCAGTTGTCATTTACCTGACCATTCCCTGAATCTCTTCATACTGTCTCTCAAGGTCATTTCCATCAACTATTTCAGAGATCTGGAAGGATTTAAATAATAAGCTAAAATGTTTCTAAAGTAGACACACGAACTTCTATCCATACAAAGTGAGTCTAAAAGGTTCTATCATTTACTAATTAAGATTGGTTGTTTTTTTTCCCCAAAATTTTGGCCCTACATAATTTTTCAGGCTGCCTTAAAATATCTAGCATTGGGCTGTCATTTCACCACTATGTAAAAAGAAATAGCACTGATACAATCAATTTGGGATGGGGACAGTGGCTCATGAGGGTAGGTTGCTGGGCTGACAATCGGCAAGCTGGTGTTCGAGATCAGGCTGCTACCATAGGTGGGGTGAATTCCCATCACATGCTCCAGCTTCTGCCGACCCAGCAGTTCAAAAGCACACAATCGCAAGTGGGATGGGGACAGTGGCTCATGAGGGTAGGTTGCTGGGCTGACAATCGGCAAGCTGGTGTTCGAGATCA